TGGTGATTTTTGCGATGTTGCAACTTGCAACTGTTTCTTGCAACGCCGGACCTCAGGGTCCCCCAGGACCCCGTCTACGCTTCGTCCCAAACATTCGTCCCAGACATCCGCCGATCTGACGTTTGATCCATCCGCGGCCTTGCCCCTGCTCGGACGTCCATTTTCCCCGTGCACGTTTCCGCTCCGCGCGCCCATTTTTCGCACGATGACCCAGGATGAACCTCGATGGTCCTCGCCGAGGAGAAACGCACACGTCCGAGCGATGCCAAGTGGCCTCAGAACTCCCGACCCTTTCGCCGGGAGTGGTTCTGCGTCCCAGGCCCACTTTTGGTGGTCCCAGGGCCGGACCGCGGGCACCAGGGGCCGAAATCCAGGCAAAGCGCCACGATGGGAAAAGCGAACCAAGGTGAGGAAGTCTCCGAAGCCCCCCTCCCAGACCCCCGACCATGACTTTCTCATGACGCAGCCCCCAGGGAGGTCTGGACCCATTCCCCGGGACCAGCTTCTCGTCCTGAGTCATCTGGTGGCAGCCCCGAGGCCCGGCACGGGCCCCCAGGGGTCGGGGGCCTGGGAGGTTTGCGGCCCAAGTCTTAAGATGCTCCAGCCTACCTTAGCTCTGACCACCCGCCAGAACTTCGAGCACCAAGAAAAGACCGAAACTGGAGGGCTTTCACGTGTCGGCCCTGGGAGACACACTCGTTCGACACTGTTTCGACGCTTTGTCGACGCTTTCCCGGGTGCTTGACACTACTTCTGGGATGCGGTCCCTAAGTACGATGGTGGCAACATAACCCAAGTCGGGCCTCTGAAGACGGGCAGCGCTAATGGGGGGAACCTCGGCCTGGGATCGCCGCGGCGGTAGGCTTAAGTCGGGCCGTCCCTCTACAGGAGGGATATTCAAAAATAGTCCAGAAAATAATACGGGACCTATTTTTTATTAGTACCTAACAGCGAAGACTGATAGGTTTCTAATAGGGTCAAAAGAGAGCATCTGGTGACTCCCCAGGGGGGTCTGGGCGGGAGCCGGACAGGCGAGGGCCGGGCTCGTTTTAACCAAACAGTCACACACTTCGTGCTCTTCGACCTCCCAGAACACTACTCCCAGGCCACATTTTGAATGCCCGGAGCCAACTGTAGGCCACTTCGTGCTCTTCGACTTCCCAGAACTCAATTCCCGGGCCACATTTTGGATGCCTGGAGCCAACTGTAGGCCACTTCGTGCTCTTCGACTTCCCAGAACTCCATACCCGGGCCACATTTTGGATGCCCGGAGCCAACTGTAAGCCACTTCGTGCTCTTGGACTCCCCGGAGCACCATTCCCGGGCCACATTTTGAATGCCCGGAGCCAACTGTAGGCCACTTCGTGCTCTTCCACTTATTCCCAAACTCCACTCCCGGGCCACATTTTGAATGCCCGGAGCCAACTGTACGCCACTTCGTGCTCTTCCACTTCCCAGACTTCCAAGACTCATCATCTTCATCATCATCGTCCCCGTAGCCTTCTTGGCTACAGCCCTGCTTTCGAAGATTTCCTTTCAAAGGAACTGCGCAGCGCCTACTGCACACCTTAATGCCAGGACATGCTGATAGTTGTTTTTTACAGTTAGGATGGGAGGGCCCGGATTGATGGCCGCGCGCGATGTGCGCCGCGTCGTTTTCCTGCTACGCATTTCGCATCTTCGACGACAAAAAGGGCCATGCTGAGAGAAACCTAACAGCGAAGACTGATAGGTTTTTAGTGGTCTCAAAAGAAAACATCGTGACTCCCCAGGGGGGGTTGGGCAAATGCCGGACGGGTGCCGCGGGAATCCGGGGACTCCCGCGGGAATCCGGGGATTCCTTTTTTGCATTCCACTCCCAGGCCACATTTTGAATGCCCAGAGCCAACTGTAAGCCATTTCGTGTTCTGCGTGTTCCCAGAACACAATTCCCAGGCCACATTTTGAATGCTCGGAGCCAACAGTAAGCCACTTTGTGTTCTTCGTGCTCCCAGAACATAATTCCCAGGCCACATTTTGAATGCCCGGAGCGACCTGTAGGCCACTTCGTGTTCTTCGTGTTCCCAGAACACCATTCCCAGGCCATATTTTGATTGCCTGGAGCCAACTGTAGGCCACTTCGTGTTCTTCGTGTTCCCAGAACACTAGTCCTGTGCCATATTTTGATTGCCCGGAGCCAACTGTGGGCCACTTCGTAATCTTCGTGTTCCCAGAACACCAGTCCTGTGCCATATTTTGAATGCCCGAGCTGACGCAGGCTGAGGCCGAGGCAGGCGGAGGCCGAGGCAGGCTGAGGCTGAGGCTGAGGCACGCCGAGGCAGGCTGTGGCTGAGGCTGAGGCAGGCGGAGGCTGAGGCAGGCTGAGGCTGAGGCTAACGCAGGCTGAGACCGAGGCAGGCTGAGGCTGAGGCTGAGGCAGGCAGCAGGCTGAGGCTGAGGCTGAGGCTGAGGCTGATGCAGGCTGAGGCTGAGAGGCTGACGCTGAGGCTGAGGCAGGCTGAGGCTGAGGCTGAGGCCGAGGCAGGCTGAGGCCGAGGCTGAGGCAAGCCGAGGCAGGCTGAGGCTGAGGCTGAAACTGAGGCAGGCTGAGGCTGAGGCTGAGGCTGAGGCTGAGGCTGCGGCTGAGGCTGAGGCAAGCTGCGGCTGAGGCAGGCTGAGGCTGAGGCTGATGCATGCTGAGGCTGAGGCCGAGGCAGGCTGAGGCTGAGGCTGATGCAGGCTGAGGCTGAGGCTGAGGCTGATGCTGAGGCTGATGCTGAGGCAGGCTGAGGCTGAGACAGGCTGAGGCTGAGGCTGAGGCGGGCTGAGGCTGAGGCAGGCTGAGGCTGAGGCCGAGGTAGGCTCAGGCCGAGACAGGCTGAGGCTGAGGCTGAGGCTGAGGCTGAGGCTGAGGATAAGGCCGAGGCAGGCCGAAGCTGAGACAAGGTGAGGCTGAATGGGGAGGGGTGGAAGGGAGGGGGAGGGGGGGGGGGGGAGGAGGGGAGGCCGAGGCAGGCTGAGGCCGAGGCAGGCTGAGGCCTAGGCAGGCTGAGGCTGACGCTGAGGCAAGCCGAGGCAGGCTGAGGCTGAGGCTGAGGCTGAGGCTGAGGCAGGCTGAGGCTGAGGCAGGCTGAGGCTGAGGCTGACGCAGGCTGAGGCCGAGGCAGGCTGAGGCTGAGGCTGAGGCAGCCTGAGGCTGAGGCTGAGGCTGAGGCTGAGGCCGAGGCTGAGGCTGAAACTGAGGCAGGCTGAGGCATCCGTAGGAATCCGTAGGAATCCGTAGGCATAGTTAAGCATCCTCAGGAATCCTTAGGAATCCCTTGGAATCTCTAGGAATCAGAATTCCCAAGGATTCCTAAGGATTCCTATGGATTCCTAAGGATGCCTAAGGGTGCCTTAGGAATCCCTAGGAATCCTTAGGATTCCATTGGATCCTAAGGCCGTTGCCTCTGCGACTGTCATTGCGAATGCGACTTCGACTGCGAGAACAGCAGAATCTGCAACTGGATTCTCATCTGAATCGTAAGGGGAATGCTTCCAGATATGCTTATACACATCGCTGTTAGGTTGCTTTGCCGGGATCATTTTTGACTAGTTGGGCGCATGGTTTGCTCATTCTTATTTTTCGTCGGATATCCCCCTGTAGGGGGGACACGCCCGACTTAATGGTAGGCCGCCGATGGCGAAGCCCCGCGCGCTCCCGGCCGGGGCGGGCCGTTGGGCGCCTACACGGTCGGCCCGACAGCAGCAAGGATGCGCGGCAGGGACGCAAGGGGCCACGGAAGCCCATGTCGATGACGGGGGATACGGTGCGGGCGCGGCCGCAAGAAACCCTCGCAAGAAACCCAACCCCGAGAACCCGTGCGCGAGGTGCACCCGAGGGGAAGCCTGGAGCGCCCTGAACGCAGCAGCTCCCTCAGCGGCTGCGGGAAGCCACCGCGCAACGCGAGGAGCGAAGAAACCCAGGACACCGTGATGAAAAGCGTATGGCTTCTTGATGCGCGCCCCCACTGTATGTCGACCTCTATCCCAGGCGTCGTGGGGTTTTCGGATGGACCAATAATTTGGGGCCCAACCCTGGGATATTACGAGGGGTGGGGGTCCATGTTCGATAGGGGTGCGTCCGAATAGCCCTTGGTGTGAATCCCAGAGTTCCCCCCTTTTTCTGATCGGCCAAACTTTTCGGGCGGAACTCGGGGATAGGGGGAGAAAAGTCGCCTGCGATTCGAGCTTTTCGAACGGGGTGTGGCCAACGAAAGTGGCCAGGGATGCTCCGAGGAGGCAAGGGCAGCAGAGCCCAGTCGAATCGAGAAATCGGATCGTCGATCGACATAAGTCGGATCGGCGGAAACCTGCAGCCGAATCGGGAAAAGACGAATCGGCGGAAATCGGGAGGCTAGAATGCCTCCAGCGAGAGGTCGGAGCCCAGACCGGAATCCCAAGGCGAATCGAATCGGAATCGGACGCCATCGAAGTCGAACCGAGCCAAGCCAGGGGAACCGAGAAGAGCCCTGCAAGGGTGCGAGGGCGCTCCCGGGGAAGGGGTTGCCCATCCGTGCGATGCGGCTTGGCTGCACCTGCGGGAAAAGTTGCGGTGCGGCGACGGCGGACGCCGAGGCCTGCCCCTGGGAGCGGCCAGGGGCGCGCGGGGGAAGCTTCGGGCAGGGGATCGACGGCAGAATCGATGCACCGCAAAATGGGAACGTTCGTCGGATCTGCAGAAGACGCGCGTAGATTCTTCACAGATGTCTCCAGAAGATCCTGCGCATTGCTGCGCATCCTCTTCACGTGCGCATCCAGAGTCTACGTATGCTTGTTCCTGCAGGCGCCGACGATGAAATCAAGATTCGGCGAGCAGTGGGCGGCTGGGCTGCCAGCTTTTTTGCAAGGCCTGGCTAGCCCCAGGGTCGGGCCGCCTGGAGTCCGGACCTGCCGCGCGCGCGCACGCCAGCGGGGAGAGGGCGGGAAGCGCCCCGCGGGACCCCTCACGCGTCGAATGCGTCGCTGCTCTGCTCCATGTCCTGGGCGCGCCGCGGGGGCCGGGGAGGGGGGGGGGAGGGGGAGCGCGGGAGGAGGGAGAGGGAGGGCGCCCTCCCCTTCCGCTCCTGCCTCCTCCCTCCCCCTCTGCCTCTGCCCCCCTTTTCTGGGAGGGAGGGGACAGAGGGAGGGAGGAGAAGGGGGAGGAGGAGGAGGAGGAGGAGGAGGAGGAGGAGGAAAAGGGAGGAGAGGAGGACGACGACGACGAGGACGACGAGGAGGACGAGAGGAGGAGGAGGAGGAGGAGAGAGGAGGAGGAGGAGGAGGGAGGGGGAGGAGGAGGAGGAGGAGGAGGAGGAGGAGGGGGGAGGAGGAGGGGGAGGAGGAGGAGGAGGAGGAGAAGGAGGAGAGGAGAGGAGGAGGAGGAGGAGGAGGAGGAGGAAGAGGAGGACCGAGGTCGGAGGGAGGGGGGAGGGCGGGAGGGAAGAATGGAGGACAGAAGGAGGAGGAGGGAAGGAGGGAGGAGGGAAGGACGGAAGTAGGAATAAGGGAGGGAGGAGAAAAGAGGCAGGAGGGAGGAGAAGATGGAGGCGGAGGAGGAGCAGGAGGAGGACGAGGAGAAGGACGAAGACGACGAAGACGAGCATGAGCAGGAAGGTAAAAGCGTTGAGCAGGAGGGGGAAGACCAACCCCAAAAAACACAAACAAGGCCGAGGAACAGGAAGAGGTTGAGGAAGAAGAGACGGATGACGAAAAAGAAAAATAATGGGTGGAATAATGGTATGAAGGACAGAAAAAGATAATGATGGAGGAAATAAAACTTGAATGTGGAGAGGAAGACGAGGAAGGCGAGGAGGACGACAAGGACGAGACGACGAACAAGAGACTCAGGAGGCGGAGTAGGAGGAGCAACGGCAAGGAAAAGACTGGACTCTGGGATGTTCCAAGGGGTACGGGGAGTGCACCTCCTCCTCCTCCTCCTCCTCCTCCTCCTCCTCCTCGTCATCCTCTCTTATTTCTCCTCTTCCTCATCCTTTGCTGCTTGGCCCGCTGCTCCTTTTCCTCCTCCGCGTCCTCTTCCTCGTCCTCCATCCTTCCCCTTCGAAATAAATCCTCCATGCCCCGCCCCCAAACGTGTAGGTTGGGCGGGCCAACCGTTTTGCCCGAGACTCTCCCACCACAAATGATCGTGAAGCTTAAAACTTGCAACACTTAGGATGAAATGTGCCGTTTTCCAAAAACGTGGTTTTCGCCAAAGCGCCGCGCACCTTCGCCTTAAAAGCGGATGGCGGACGGCCCTTTTTCAAGATTGATTTTCGCACGAGACTGTTTGAGTCTTGCATTCCAGCGTTGAACCTATGGAACAGCTGCACGGCTGGAGAGCGGTTCCTTTTCCAAAACGGGGCTATCGTTTGAGACTTTCACGAAATCGATGTTCAGAACTGTGACTGTGCGCACCAGCTACGCAGTTGGGGTGGTCCTGTGTCAAAACCGAATTTCGCAAAACACACAGTTGAGCTTTATGACCATACCGCGTCACATTCCTTGCAATTCCTTGGGGGAACGCCACACTCGTGGAGAGGGGACTTGGCATACGAGGGTGTACTGCAGCATCGTGGGTGCATCGTGGTTTCATGGTGGTCGTCCTCAGCATGCATTTCTAACACCATCATCATCACCATCATCACCGTCACCATCATCATTACCAATACCACCGTCACTGCCAGAAGCATCAGCCTGTTAGCCAGCGTGGACTCCAAACAACGTGCTTTATACGAATACTCGATGTGGAGCCGCTGATGTAATGCAACATATATATGTATGTATATATGTGTGTAAATATATAGGTATGTGATGCAAGCTGTGTGGTGCAAACTATGTGGTGCAATATACGTGATGTATAAAATGCATTGCAATACGTGTATGTGTAATGCATGTGTTGTGTAAGCTGTGTGACATATATGTGTTGCAAGCTATGTGGTGCAGACTGAATGGTGCGGTCTACGTGGTGCAAGATATGCGGTGCAATTAGTTTTTGTTCGCAATCAGTTGTCCACTCCACTGCTCGCGCAAACATCTCACCCACCCACCCGCAACTTGGTTTGCAAACCTAATGCGGCGGCGATTGCGATGAGTGCATGGCGATGGCTGGTGCATTTCTGCAATCGCACCAGCCCGCGCATGCGCGCGCGCACCGGCCAGGTAGTTTGGCGCGGCCGACGCGGCCGCGGTGGTGCTGACCACTCGGCACATCCAGGCGGGCACTTGAATGCGAGTCGGCGGCTTGGGCGGGCGCGGTATCATGGCAACGTCGACAATTGTAGACACGGTGATAACGATAGTAGCGATGTTGGTGACGATGCTGACAGCGACGACGGCCCTGCCAGTGACGGCGCCGCTGATACCGATCACGCCGGCGACGATGACGGCGCCATCGCGTCGGTGATGAGGGTTTTGAAAAGAATTCGAAATATGCGCGCGCGGCAGACGCGCGAGAGTGGCTCGCATGGTATTATTTGACACGGACCGTGCCGCCCCAGCACGCGCGCAAGGGCGTTCGAACGATTTCGACATGCGCGCGCGACGCCCGTTTGGTAGCATGTTATGAACATGTTGGAAAACGTATGGCTTTGTTAAGAATTCGTAAAGGCGCGCGCACGCTGTTGTATAAACTCTGTGTTGCCGAAAATGTGTGGTTTTGTATGTTTTGGGGGCTCTCGATGTCGACATCATTCCGCAACCGAAAGATTTTGAAGGTTTTCGGCATGCGCGCGCGACGACGCGCGCGCACTTCATCCAATCGTTTGCAAAGGATTCTGCCGACGGCACGGGCGCAAGAGCGTTCGAACGATTTCGACATGCGCGAGAGAAGCCCGCTTGGTAGCAGTTTATGAAAAGTTCGCTATACTCATATATATGTATATATATATGTGTGAAGATAAAGTGTTTTTAAGAATTCGCAAGAACGCGCGCGCACGCTTTTGTTGAAACTCTGTTGCTAACCCTTGTGTTGTTGTATGCTTTTAAGGCACTCGATTTTGAAACCCATCCGAAACCGTAGGTTTTTGCAGGATTCCGGCATGCGCGCGCGACGACGCGCGCGCGCACGTCGTCTCATTGTTTGCAGAGGATTCTCGCGACGGCACGCGCGCAAAAGGCGTTCGAACGATTTCGACACGCGCGCGCGAAGCCCCCTTGGCAGAAAGTTCTGGAATCTTTGAGAGATTTTGATATTCTCAAGACTTCGCAAGAGCGAGCGCGCATTCTTTTTTGAAAATACGAGTTTGGAAACTCTGTGTTCTTATATGTCGTTTGAACGCTCGATGTTGGAATCCTTCCGAAACCGAAGGTTTTTTCAAGGATTTCGGCACGCGCGCGCGGCAACGCGCGCGTGTGCACTTCGTATCAAATTTGTTATAAACGAGTGAGCGCATCGTACGCTTTGCAGAGGATGGGCATGGGGGGCGATACCGGCCTGGCTGGGATAGTATGAATTCACAGGTAGGACGGACATTGGGTCAGAATCCGAGGTGTTTTTGCATAGGTTCCCGGGGGGTCTTTCACCCCGGGGGGGGAGGGTGGTAGAACCTATTTCTCTTTGGAAACGAAAGTATATGCGGTGCCACGCATGTGGTGTAGGTTATGCGGTGAAATCTATGTGGCGTGAGCTTCGTGATGTAATCTGTGTGGTGCGATCGATTTTAGCAAACGAGCTGACACATCCCACGCTCTGGCAAACGTCCCACCCACCCACCCACCCGCAACTTGGTTTGCAAAACCCATGCGGTTGCGACTGCGGTGAGTTCTTGGCGTTGGCTGGTGCATCTCTGCGGCCGCGCCAACCCTAGCACGCGCGCGCAGCGGTCACCTAGTTTGGCGACACCGACGTGTCCGCGGTGGCGCTGACCGCTGGGCGCATCCCAGCGGGCACTTCACTGCAAATCGGCGACTTGGGCGGGCGCGGTATCATGGCAACGCCGACGACGGCCGACACGATGATGATAGTAGCGACGCTGGTGGCGATGTTCGCACCGACGAAGGCGCGGCCAGTGCGGGCGCCGACGTTGACCACGCCGACGACGATGACGGCGTCCTCGCGTCGGTGATGAAGGTTTTGGAAAGAGCTCGACATGCGCGCGCGGCCGACGCGCGAGAGTGGGCCCCATGCTTTTTATGTGACACGGATCGTGCCCCCCCCCCCCCCCAGCATGCGCGCAAGGCGTGCGAATGATGTCGGCATGCGGCGCCAGAAGCCCGTTTGGCAGAATTCCATGCACATGTTGCAAAACCTATGTTTCGTAAGATTTCGCAAAAACGCGCAAGGTTATTTTGAAAACTGATGTTGCGAAACCATGTGTTTGAATGTGTGTTGGACACTCAGCTTTGCAACCGTTACGAAACCGAAAGTTTTTGTCGGATTCTGGCATGCGCGCGCGACGACGCGCGCGTGTGCACGCGTGTGCACTTCGTCGAAGTTGCTGCAACGGATTATCGCGACGGCACGCGCGCAAGGGCATTCAAACGATTTCGACATGCGCGCACGCGAGACCCGTTTGGTAGTGTTTTATGGAAGTGTAAAAAAACCATATGGTGTTCTCAAGAATTCGCAAGAGCGGGCGCACGCTTTGTTTGACAATCCGTGTTGCGAAACCCTTTGCTTTAACTCTTGTTTTGGGGGCACTCGATTTTGAAATCCTTACGAAACCAGATAATTCCTAAGGATTTCGGCATGCGCGCGCGACGACGCGCGCGTGTGCACTTCGTAATCTATCAAGACCGTGACGGTGGGTACCAAATGGCACTTGCCAACGACAGCGACGCCGACGACGACAGCGACAACGACGACGACGACGCCGCTGGCAACGACTACGACGACAACGACGACGTCTCCAACGACTTCGACGACGCCGACAACGACGACGACGACGACGACGACGACGACGACGACACCGACGACGACGACGACGCCGACGCCGACGACGACGACGACGATGACAACGACGACGACGATGACGACGCCGACGACGAGGACAACGACGACGCC